GGAGAATCCTGGAGAGGAAATACGAGAGGGCGCATGTGGGATTCTACAGCACCGACACCATTGCCTAAAGATCGTGTTTTCTACATGTTTTCTACATAGGTTGATGAGTTGATCTTCTGCATCAGAGTACATGTTCCTTCAAGACTGTTCATTACTTCTCTTGCTGACTAAAAAATTGTTTGGGCATTTCATAGGGCCTTACAGATATTTGCAGAGTAAAGGAGTGAATGGGAAATACTTCAACCTGGTGATGCTATAAAAACAATGACTTCAATGTTATTTTAGATACCTATAATGCTAAACCATCTCCGATGCTTTCTTTAGATGGTATAATACTTAAGAATGTCTGCTGCAGTGTAGTTAGGAGGCAAAGGACTAGAGGAACAAGATACAAACAGGCATCAGGCATGGCCCTGTCCTCTGATAACTTTGTTATGATATGACCAACAGGATATACAGAATAAAAATGTAAATAAAATTAGAAAATTGTATTTGTTTAGCTCTAAATCAGTGTTAAAAGAAAGGGGTGAGAGGTGGTAGCAGGATTTCAATGAATTTAAATTCAATGAACACTTAGGTTCCATTTATTTTCTGAAGCCCGTGGAGTCTGCCTGAAAAACACTCCAGTGATCCACATAACCAATGATAAGGAAGAGGTAATGAAGGGGAGTCAGGAAAGCTAGGTATCCCCTGTTGCTGTACCAGAGCAAACTGTTAAGATAGCCTTCAAGGTGGGATTGACATACCGCACTGAAGGTAGTATGGTTAAGATAAAGCCGATCATGTGCTGTTTATGGACCTTCTACCCATCCCTAAGACCTCTTCAATTTCTGTTCAAGAAGGTTCACAATAAAGACTGTATTTATGTTAGCTGACCAGATTATCAGTAGAATTGCCATGGGTGCCTACAAAAAGTTTAATACACAGAGACAGTAACCAGACAAACTTCCTCATGGGTAGGTGGTGTCACTTTGTTATTCCTAATTGTTTTTGGCTTGGCCAGAAGGTACAGAAACAACAGGACAAGGCAGCACATACCATACAGAGAAGATGGTGATCTCTCTGGCGCTACCTGAGAAGCCAGCATCCATGCACATGTCAGTACTGAGCATAGTTTCAGAGATGCTGTGGTATCGTTAGGATGCAAATTAGTGTATTTTAACAGAATCAGCCTGTCCTGGCAAAGGCTGCAAAAAGGAAACAACTATGAAAAGATTAGTGAAAGATGTCTATTCCTGCTGACATTTCAGATGAAGTTCTATAGAATGTGCCATGTAGCTTAAACTCTTATTAAAGGCTACACTTTCAGGAAGCCCTGATTGTGTGTATCTGACGCAGCTATTCCACATTGTTTTCTGAATCTTGAACTACCCATGTGACTACACAGTTGACCAGACAATGTGAAAGCAGAAAAACAGCACATAAGGTGGCTTTTTCCAGGGGGCAGAGTCACCAGGCCCAACCTTTCACAGATACCTGTGCATGAAAGAAGAAACAGAAGAGGCTGAACAGATGATCAGAGCAACATTTGTCTCTCCCCAGATGTTGAAGTTGTAGTTCATATGCCCTCTTGCCACTGGTTGTGGACAACCTTCCCCTTGGTATGAAGAACTTAATTTCAAACAGAAACTGTCTCTGGGAGGCATTGGTGATGCTATGTCCCAAATGGTAGCTGCTGTAACTATGAAAATTAACTGAGATAGTGAAACATGGTTCCAGTTTTTGTGCATTCTTTTTCAAGTTTCAGTTTCTGACTAAATTGACACCAATTGGTGGTGAGATTGTGTCTATGGGAAATTTTTATGAAAACCTGTATTTTTCACTGTGCTGCTTTGAGATCTCATTTCAAAGGAACATCATGGGCTGTCTTCTGACATAGTTGTAAGTGATCAAAATTCTGCATTCCTAGAATTTTTCCATCCATGGGGCTTGCAAGTTGTTCACTTAAAACATCCCTAAAATGGGTGGATTCTTGTTTGTAAACCAGCTGATAAAGCAGCACCCAAAGATCCCTGCTTTTGAACACAGGAGATTTCTTCCTACTTACCTGTGCTAGAAATAACAGCATCTAAAGTGAAGAATTAAGAAACACTTTAAGGCTACTAGGCTATCCTTAGTACTCTGAATTAACTCTTTTTAACAGCCTTTGTATTTAAAAGAAAAACAATTTTGTCACAGAAATTTGTTTCCCCAGTGTTTCTTTTCTTTTTTTTTTCCCTTTTGCAGTGTTTTTGTCATAGAAATGTAGTTACAACAGAAAAGGTATATATGTTGCTTAAATAAATGTAATTATCATAAACATCTGTTGATCTGAGATTTTAATTTTGATATGGGAGTTTTTAGTTCCACGTTCATTAAAAACTAAAAACTATTTCTAAAAAAATTTCATGAGTTGATCAATGCTAAACAGAAGAAGAAATAACTATCAAACAATCATTAAGAAGACACTGAAGAAAAAATGACTAGGACTTTGTAAAGTGGTAATTAAGACTAGTTAATATGTAATGTGGAAAGGTTCTGAATGGACATTTGGTATTAGGATAATAATATAACATATATATGTTGGCATGTATTTGAAATCTCAGACACACTGGGTAAGTCCAAATAAAGTTATGAGGCCTGGAGATCTCTTAAGAAAACATGATTCATTTAAAACCAATGCTAACACTAACATTTGTTGTCATCAACTTCCTTCTAACTTATGTATCACTAGCCACCTGTTCTAAGTAATTTGTAAGGAATTTGCATGTTCCTAGACAAGAAATGTTGTGAACAGAGATGGCTTCATTTCCCTACTGTTAAAACTGGTTGTTAATTATTCCTTGTAAGTTGATTATTTCTAATTATGATAATACAGCATCTGTGGACAATGCCCTTTCTTTCACATTCTGTGATTTGAAAGGGACTGTAACTTGTTGAAACTCAGCTCTGGTGTTGTGTTACTATTATTGCTCCTGGGGAGGCTTATTAGCTTGTCATAGAAGATGTAAGAAAAATCCATCATTCCTTTTGGAATACGATGAGTCTTTGTCACCCACAATGCAATTAACGTTAAAAATAGAAAGAATGACTATGATATGATTATGATTAGCCAGAGATGAGCTATTGTCCCCGTAACAGGCACTAATTCAGCAGGCCAAAGATGACCTACACAGAACCATCAGTTTGCTGATTACCATTTCTCTTGGAGTTTGATGAAATATTCATGCCTTCGCTCTTCTCTCTGCAAGCACTATTGATTTCTTGTATAAACGCTGCTATATTTAGTCTAGACAAATGGAATGTGGATTGCTGCTGAATAAATTGGATGAAAGACTGGGATCTTGCCTGCCGCTTTCTCTCAGTCTTGGGCAATTATTTATAATCAAGAGCAGTTTTTGTAAGTTGAGGGTGATTTTTCACAATTTAGTGATTAGTCTCTGAACAAAGGCAAGCAGTTAGACACAATCATTTCTGTTGGGATAGCAGGTTAAGAAGTCAAATTACCCTTTGAGGTTTACAATAGCTGTTTCGGAGAGTTCTGGGACTTTTTTCCTTATCTTTTTTTTTGTGTGTGGGGGGGTGGCGATTTTCTTAGGGGTTTGATGTTTACAGTTTATGGATAATAAGAATACCAGCAAGAAGAGGTCCCAGGACCTCTTGAAATTTTACATTTGTCTTTATAGGATTAAATTCTGATTTTTGTTTATTGGGATTTTCATTTAAAAACTGGAGCCTTTTTAATGTAAAAATGAAATATGTCATTAATAGCCGTTGCTTTTGGTTGGAAATATGCCAACTCTATAAGTTAATGCTCAGAATCTCATGTTGCATTGGATACTGCAACTAGAACTCTTCATTTTCATTTAGTTTCAAATTTGGCTCAATTAAGAGCTTTCCTTTCACAAATGATATGTTTTAGAAGATAGCATCTACCGAACTGTGGCTTATTAATACATTGTTTTACAATTTTCATTAAAATGCCATTGCCACCAATGCAAGCTCCTGATCAATACATTGAAAATTTACCAATGTTAGCAACTCAAGACTGATACCGGCCCCACCCCCACCCCTCCACCACTCACAGGCACACACACACACAATCCAAAGGCTAAGCAAGGACCTTAATGTTTCATTTAGTATTTGCAGCCTTCTATAGACAGGATTTCTGTTAGGATTTCCTAACTCTCTGAAAACAGCTCTTAAATCCACATGGAATATTAACTTTGTAGTTCCCAACCTGGGATCTGGAAATCTAAATTACTTTATAGTAGTAGTCGAAGCATGAGATGCAGTTTGGAAAAATACAGAAACATAGAAAGGGAGGAATTATTCATATTTCCACCCCAAATACAGCCATCTTCTGCTCTATATCTCACCAGTCTTTGCTTTAGAATTCAAAGACTAGTATAATTAAAGCTCCAATAGATGATACGCTCTGTGAGGGCTGGAATTTTTGCCTTTTGTTCACTACTGACTCCCAACTTCTTGAATCACGCCTGGGAATTTAAAATGCTCGATAAATGTATGTTGACTAAATTATATTTAGTCTAAAAGAGTTATCACATAATATATGTCATTTTTATTACTGATTGCAAACAAATTTGTTTGCAAGTGTACAGATTTAGTTGTGTTAGAAGTTCCCTTTTTAATAGGACATCTTTTTCCTCAGAAGAGTTGCATTTTTGGTTCTAAGTTGACTTGACTTTTGCAAGTGGTCCAGTGGAATGAATAAGTTTGATGAATGACTTTGATACTAGTGAATAATTGGAATCTTCCCTTTGAAAAAGGGAAATGTGAAAGATTCGTGGCAGAGTACCTATGACGGGGTGAAAATTAGGCCCATTATATCAAAATTGTTATACAGAAGACCTTTTATCCTTATTGTAAAAAAAAAATGACTGTATTCGTTGATGGAAAATTTGTTGTGAAGTGTGTAGTGTCTTTTTTCGTGTGTCCACATCAATATCCTAATTTCTTATCCTCGACTCTGTCTCTTTTTTTTCCTCCTGTTTGCCCAGTGGATGTGAAGTCAGAGGTGCCCGTGGGCCGGGAACCCATCTCGCCTTTAGACCTCAGGACCGACCTCAGGATGATGATGCCCGTGGTGGACCCTGTAGTCCGGGAGAAGCAGCTGCAGCAGGAGTTACTCCTCATCCAGCAACAGCAGCACATCCAGAAGCAGCTCCTGATTGCAGAGTTTCAGAAACAGCATGAGAACTTGACGCGGCAGCACCAGGCCCAGCTTCAGGAGCACATCAAGGTAGCAAATGTCCCCTTGCCTCTGACCTTTTCCCTCAGGGAGCCGGGACCATGACACGGGCATAAGGAGGAGGCCTAGGGGTAAGGCTCGCTGTGATTAACATGGGGAAGTAGGTATGGCGTGAAGGAAATTGTGGTTGTACTGGTTGGTGAAAACCATGGGTAGGTGGTAAGAACTCTGGCTAAAAATCTGCTTTGATTCTCGGAGGGGGGCCTCTACCACTCTTTAATCCTTTAGTTTACAGCTTCAGCACTAGGGAATAGTAACTCCCCACCCTCTGTTTAGATACTGTTTCATGTGATGTTTATTTGTCTCATCTACTCTCCACCAAGAAGAACCATGATCCTAGGAAGACCCATTTTATGGTTACAAAGAATCTACTTATAGTAGTTATCAGAGGGGATAAATTAGTCACTTTATGTGAAGTGAGAGCCTTTTCTCCCCCCTAGTATTCCTTATGGAAAGACCTCATAATGTGTACATTCAAAATAGTAATAAAAAAAGCTCAAGAGAATTATACGAGTATACGAAAAAACTGGGGCAAATATTTTCAGTGTTTTTATATGAGTCTAATAGACTATAGATAATTATTTATTGGAAGAATTTTGGGAGTAGTTGCCTATTTGAGACTCAAGTTGTTTAAATTACTCTAGGAGAAATATGTCCATGTCCTAGAAGTTTTGACGATGGACTATTTTCTTGTCAGATCATTTTAGATGTGTCTATGTACCTATTTCTTCTCTTGTCTGCTGAGAGATAAGTATTACTTTAGTTTTATTTATAAAATGACTTTCAACTTCTTTACAAAGACATTTAAGACAAAGAGATTTTGGTCTGATTAAGTAGATGTCTAATTTGAATTTATTATGACAGTACTATAGAGCAGCAAATATTTATAATGAAAATTCATGTTATCTCCAACACCTTCAAAATGACTTAAATGTTAATTTACTAATACAGTAAATGTTATATTATATTATAGACACTGATCTTTTGCTCACTTGCATATTAAATGCAAGTACGTTTCTATGGCATTAATATAAGTAACTAATCTATGCTACTATTGTATCCTTTTACCACATTAATATTACAATGTCTGAGAAGGTAAAACTGCTATCTTCTTCCTTCTCTTCCTTGTTTTATGACATTTTCTTAGGCTGAAAGGCCTATTTTATCTTATTTTCCAAAAAACATTCTTCAATGCCTAATATAAACTGTAATAGTTTTTTTTTTTTTACTTTTACTACTGAACTTTACTGAAAGAACTCTTGCAATTTATTGATCTAAAAGATACCTGAAAAATAAGAGTGAAAATTTGTTTTAGGTCTCATATGGAATCAGTAGTTCATGGTTATATTTTGTATTATAGGAAAACGTCACTTAGTTTATACATATTTTTGAATGATTCAGAAGCATTATTATTTGACCTTTGAAACAATAATAGGAACATTGATGTCTAGATCTCCTTATTCATTCTAGGCAAGTTAGGATGGCAGTGATGATGAGTGAAATTTATGTTCATCACCATACTTTAAGATTTAAGTAACTATATGGTTCATTTTGCTATGGTAGGTAAGTCACATTGCCCTGAACAGAGGGCAGTGTTAATAAGTTACTGCTTTCTTTAGATACTTCTTTTCATTTATGTTTGATGATGCTTTTTGTAATTGTAAAGAGCAACATAAAAATTTTAAAGTAATTTATTGTTTCATTTTACTCAGAAGTTAATAGCAGCAAGTAAATAATTGTTAATTTGGCCCAAACAAAATAATGTAGTAGGTTTACTGACATCTGGAAAATATTGGAAAAGAGGAGTTTCTTGACATTAAAAAAAAAGGGGGGATTCTGATATAAAGCTAAAAGGAATTTTTAGCTTTTGACGTGATTTTCCAAAATAATAAGTTGTTTCGTCAGACACCAAAGACATGCTTAAAATTTCCTTTTAAGTTTTAAGTTTTCTATTTTAAAAAATTATTTTATTTTACATTTTTTTATGAGTAAGGCTCAAAGTTGATGCTTTTAAAATGTATTTTGATTTTATTTTCATGAGGAAGACACAATGCATGATGCTTTACTTACATTAGATGAGTCAGCTGGTATTATCCCATTTTTCCACCTAGCAAGATGAGGCAGAGAGAAATACTTGAACTTGCCCAAGGCCACACAGCCAGTAAGTGGTGGTTCCAGTATTTGTAGTCCTGCCTTATTTGTCACCAAAGCTATGACATCTTCCTGCCTGTCCCTGGACCAAAACATCTGAAACTGGAGGGGTGAAATATTGTTGCTTTCTATTTTTTTCAACTTTATTCCTGCAATCTTTAATAATGAATGGTAGTGACAGAAATGAAATTGTGTATTTCTAGATTCTAAGATAGATTAAATTTTTATTCCATTGGGGCTTTGGGTGAAACACTGAATTCATTTGACCAATCCCAATATCTGTATAGAATTAACATTTAAGGCGGAGTTTAAGCAAAATTATGAATTTTTCTGTTGCAGTGGAATATTTAAAAACACCCAATACAGGACTGGTGTATCAAAGCCAAAATGCCAAAGCTTTTAATATGGGGAGTAACCAGAAATGCTTCTAACCATATCCTCCTGGAAGTGATGAGGCCATCACGGTTGACATACAGAGTTGGCTTCCTGTTGCTCCAGAGTAACTGTGATGCCATCCCACAAAGCCTTTTATTTTTATTCTATTACTTCTGAGCATAAATTTCTTAAGTTTTAGGTACTTATCTAATATAAACAGGAAATTACGCTAACTGCATTAGTATTGAGAGTTACAAATAGCAATAACACTTAAAATTAGTATGGTTCATTCTTACAAACTAAATTTAATGTACATTATGAACATGATGTATGAGGGCAATTATTTCTCTGTCTTTCATATGAGGTACCAAGACTCTGAGTAGTTTAGCAAGTTGTCTAGATCTCATATCTAGTAATGCCAGAATCTAAGTAGAAATCATAGTCTTTAGTTATCCCTCAATGGGCACATTTAGTATTATTTATTGATATCTATTTCTTAGTCTAAGAGGAAACTGACGTCTTGCAACGGTTATTAAGAATAGTTGACATTTATGTTATTCATTGTTTGGAAGTGAATTCAAGGGATGCAGACAAATAGTGATGCATCAAAGTGCTGTTTAATGGAAGTGATTTCTTCTCGACCAATCTCTCTAATCTGCAGGATTTTGTGTGCTGGATGAACAAACCAGACTTTTGCTGTTTTGAGAAAAGGGCCTATTATGGATACACAGATTTCATTAATCTACTGGGAACCTTCTCCATGAATTTTTGTAATTTTTAATATTCATTCTATTTCAGGTAGACTTTTCCAAAATTATATCGTTTTTTATAATTTTCATACCATTTCATGGGATAAGACATGAAGATTTTAATTGATTATTTACAATAGCAGAGACTTGGTAAAATAGACTTCTGAGCAGCTACTGCCTTTGCCTCTTTCATGTATTTCAGATTACAAAAAAAAGTTACCTAGGGAACTAAAGACCTGAGTGAGTTTGTTAATGATTTTTGACAGGGCAGAACAGGTAATGAAGCCACCTAGAAACTGACTTATGGACGACGTTAAGACCACCTATGGCATTAGTTGCTTTTCTTTAGATTTCAATAATTTACCAAAAAAAGTGGGTAAAATGTAAACTAAATACAAACAAGTTCCAAAAGCTTGTAACATTTTGACTTTGGTCAGTGATGACTATAAAGCCTAAAGAAATTGCACACGCTCATGTCTTTCTCTTCTCGCAAGTTGCAACAGGAACTTCTAGCCATAAAACAGCAACAAGAACTCCTAGAAAAGGAGCAGAAACTGGAGCAGCAGAGGCAAGAACAGGAAGTAGAGAGGCATCGCAGAGAACAGCAACTTCCTCCTCTCAGAGGCAAGGATAGAGGACGAGAAAGTAAGAAGCACCAGGGTAAAAGATGCACTGTTCTTCTCTCATCTTTAGCTGATCGCCATGCAGAGAGAAGCCTGATAAAGAGTGGAATTACACTTGTCAAAATTGTCTGCATTTAACTAAATGAATAAACTACAGCCCCAAATGTAAAGCTTTGTCTTCACGTATCAGCTCTCTTGCATTCAGTCTGCAAGGTATCTCAGGAAGTAAACATAGCATTGTGTGGCAAAGATACTAATTTCTGTTGTTTCAAATTTTAAAAATAATATTATAGTAAAACGATCTAGCTATACCATATTGTTTAATATAACCTTACTTCCACATTTCCTCACTATACGAGGAGTGATAAAAAAAATGCAGTGTGTGTTTGCATAAAAAATAATTATTACAGTAAAAGACACGTTGCCATCCATCTCCCTCAAAATACCTCTCGCTTTGAACTCACTTATCCCATCGTTCTTGCCACTTTCCGAAGCAGTTCTGGAAGTCCTTTGTCATGACTATCTTTACTTCATCCTCCATCATGACAACTCTCTGTGTCACACATCGCTTCTGGTACAGCAATTTGTGTCAAATGAAAACATTACAGTGTGTCCTCATCCACCTAATTCACCAGATCTGGCACCAGGCGACTTCTGGCTCTTCCCCAAAGTCAAAATGACCATGAAAGGTAAACGTATAAAACAATTCAGGACATCGAGGCAGCCACAACAGCGCAACTAAAGACACTCACAAAAGAGGACTCAGAACTGCTTCAGAAAGTCGCAAGAATGGGATAAGTGTGTTGGAAGTGAGGGGGAGTATTTTGAGAGGGATTAATGGTAATGTGTCTTTTACTGTAATAATTTTTTAAAAAACATTCATCATATTTGTTGATCACACCTTGTACCTTGATCCAGCTCAAATAATAATTGCTCTGTAAGTTAAGCCTTGCCTCCATTTAGTTTTGGAGTACCAAGACTTTGGGAAGATTTAAGGCAGAACATTTGTAAAATAATCTAGCCACAAGAGGGAGACAGATCCAAATAATTCCCCTGTATGAGGTCAGTTCAAATTCAAGTTGTAACAAAATTTAAAATTTAAAATTGGATGACATGAACCGGAATCGTCAGCAATATTTATTTGTTTAATGCTCAAAATAACTTTTGAAAGATTTTTTTCAAAAGAGTGATTCAAAAAGATCATTTAATGTGTTTAATCACTTATATGGTTCCCCAAGATTTCATGATTTGTTAGAGGTAGTGTTTTGTTCCTCAGTGGCATTTTTTTAAAGCTTAGAAAAACTAGTATTAATTGGACTCCCCTTTCTGAAAAAATAATTTAAAACATCATCGAAGCTCTTTTGAAAATTGGCAGTTTAATCAGTAATTACAAAATATTATGCCATTTTCTAAAGCCTTGTTTAGACTCTGGTTTCTTCTTTTAAAATGGAAAATTTTCTATGCTGTGACCAGTGGTGCTACTTCTTAATTTTTGCTAAATGCTTTAAGAGGCATGAAAGGACAAAACCCCAAATCAACATCTGTTTCTATATGTGTGTGTTTCAGGGGCAGTGGCAAGCACAGAAGTAAAGCAGAAGCTTCAAGAATTCCTGTTGAGCAAATCAGCAACGAAAGACACTCCAACTAATGGAAAAAATCATTCCGTGAGCCGCCATCCCAAGCTCTGGTACACGTATGTTCAGTGTTTGGCTATTTTCATTACTGGGGTCAAGAACACAGGTTGTATATTCAGCACACCTGAGCACAGACCTGGGGCTGGCCAGTTCTCAGCTATGTGGCTGTGGGCAGCGACCTTAATCTCTCTAACATCTAGTTCCCTTCCCTGTAAGAAGGGGATAATAATAGTACCATAATAATAGTACCAGCCCTCTCGGCTTTCTGGGAAGGTCCTATGAAATAATGTGGTAAAGGGTGTAAGACAGAACAGGGCTTAATAAATGTTAGCAGGTATCATCTTGTGGGTCAGGAAGGATGTATGTTCTTGTTGAATGACTAACTGACAAACCTGGGGTGGAGCATGGAAATTGATTTGTATTTTGCATTTTTCTATTCTCAGATGGTACATCTGATACTTTTACAATAATTTCTGAAGATTTGGCAGGTTGAGATTTTATTTTACTTGGCTTGATATAAGATGGAGATTTGACCTATTTTTAAAAGTCCAGAATATTTTTCATTTAAGACAAAAAAAGGTGTGTGTGGGGGGGGAGTGGGGAGGAAGACAAGGAAAAGGAATAAAAGAAAGCAAGGTAACTAACTAACTCTAAGTCTTCGGTAACTAGTTTAACCCTGCCCATATCACCGTATTTCTTCCCACCCTATAAAATGAGAGTAGATTGGCTTCTGACACACAAGCTGATAAAACTACACACTATGGTATTACAGTTTTTATGGAACCATGTTTCCCCAAGTCCAGGAATGAGATACTATGCAATACACAATTTTTCCTGTAAAATATAAAGCATGTGGTATTTTTAAAAATCAGGACACAAACAGATAGGCAAAGCATGTTTGGATAATAGACTAATAAATAATAGTTTCATTTCTCTCATTTTATAAATGTTTGCTGAATTACCCTAGGATTTTAAACTTACATATTTTTTAATCCCTCACATCGTAAACATAAGAGAGTAAATATTTGATTACACTGTTATACTGAAATTGTATGCATCTCAGGAGTTCTATTTAAAGTGTTATTATACTTATAACTCTATTTTATAAGTATCTGCCCTTCTCTAAACTCAAAGAAAAAGGTAACTGAGGCAGATTCCAGAGTGCTATATAAATACTTTTTAATGGTTTACGTAATTTCCATCATGCATGTCAGTTCACTTGAGAAACCAGTCCCTGAAGAACATTTTCAAATGTTCAATCAGCATCTCAAAATAGTTTAAAAACTACTGTTTTCTTACCTAAAATTATATATATATATATAATTTATAACCAATTCACATTCTTTCTAAGTTAAAGCCTGTTTTAAGAAGTGATAATACTTTTTTTAAAAAAATGGGAAACAACTACATGCAAATAACTAGTCAGCTGAAAATTCTTTAGCTATTCCCTCGACTTGATTAATCATGACTCTCAAATGTTACTGAGCAATCCTTTTTTTGCACTGAATTTCATTTCAGTAGGGTCCAACTCCAGACAACCATAAATCTTTTACTTAATGGAGTCTGAATTTAATTCATTTTTGCCAGTTATGGCTAGATGAAATATCCTTAAACCAGGTAATTCTTGAGAATATGTGACTGAAATAAAGAATACTGGTGGAGTAACCATCTGGCTGGTGATACCGTGCCCTACCCATTGTTTTTCTCAGATATAATAAGTATGGGTGTTTCTACCCACTGGTTAGTCTCTCTCTGTTCAGTCCTGTAAATGTCTCTCCAGTAGTGTAGTTGCATCTCCTTCACTGGATTCACGCAGGGAAGAGAAAATAGTTTGAGAAATTAGTTTCGTGCAAAAGAATGATGTTATCTCCCACCTTTACCTTGGAACTGCCACAGCAGTCAGGGGATCTGAGGCTGGTGGTTTTTCTTCAGTAGAAAAGCCACTCTCATGTAGTTTCGTGTGCGATCCAGCAGTTTTTTTAAATGAAGTCCTTCTATAAGTTTACTTTTACCTTGGTTGTTCTACACCATTGACTAAAAAGGTTTCAGATGATGACTTTTCAGTAGCATGGCTCTTAAGAAAGCATACACACTAGTCTCAGATTTTCAAACCTCAGGCTCTTGGTGAATTCTCTCTTTTAGTAACACACACTTTCTGTGTGACTGTGTGACCAAACACAACAGTGGGCATGGGTGGGAGTCCTGCGTCATTCTGTAACATATTGCTGAAGTGAACTTGGTAACGTGAGGCTGTGGTTTGTACACACTAAACATAAACACAGCTGCCACACGTGTGCAGCACGTGCATCGGATTATTGCTGACCACCGTGCAGGAAAAACTCCGGTGCCAATGGTGAACCCTCCTCTCTTTCGTAGGGCTGCCCACCACACGTCATTGGATCAAAGCTCTCCACCCCTGAGTGGAACATCTCCATCCTACAAATACACATTACCAGGAGCACAAGATGCAAAGGACGATTTCCCACTTCGAAAAACTGGTAAGTTGGCTTAACAAGAAGATACCACTTGCTCTTCCATAACATACCTGTAGTTTCATTTTGCCATGCCTCTAGAGGAACGTCAGAGGATGTGAGTCATAGCTGACACGCCCTGTGCACCCCTGCCCTCAGCGTAAACAGATATGTGTGTGGATGGGTNTGCCTGTGCATGTGACACGCACACACACATGTGTCTACATCAGTTGAATAATATCAGTATATTCAGCATATAATCAAAGTACCTGTTTTAACTTAAAAGTTTATCATGTTTGGATTTTAGATGAATTAGCTTGTTAGCAATAAACAATAGAATTAAGAAAAATAGAAATTTGATTTATCAGAAAATTTAAATCTTCTCTATTAATGAGGACTTCTATCATTTTCATCATTTATCTGATTTTTCTGTTGAGCCTCAGTCATTGCCTACAAAAATGGGAATCACTTCTTTTCCCTCACACATTCTAAAAACCTTAAATTTTAATTGTCTAAGTGGTGGAAACAGATAACAGATAAAGCTACCTTCTGAGTAAGTGACTTGCCTAATGTCTCACAGATTATAGGAGAACTCAGAGTGAAGTTTTGTACCTAATAATCTCATGTAATTCTATTAAAATTTGCTTAGGGGAACCGGGACACAGAAGCTTCAATTTGGAATTTAGTAAGCAGCCCTGTGGCTTTAAGGCCTGTGTTTGTTTTCCTGTCTTCTCCTTTTTTTAGCCTCCTGATATACATTTTACATGTTCTATGCTCTTCCCTCTATAATAAATATATTTAAACTTTATGAAAATATAATCATAAATAGCCTTTGTATACATTGTGTTCTAAATCTTATGATGTTTTCCAAATCTGGCTATTTAGAGAAAGATGTAAATTAAAAAAGAAATTTATATCCACAATTGATCTGAAAAGGCATTCAGAGAAGATAGTTTGATCCATTGTCTTTTATTCAAGTCTACTTGAAGAAGTATAGACCTATGTAATTTATCTGAGATCTACCAAGAGAAAATGATTTCAAATAATTATATTCATTTTTACCAAGCAATTTTGAATAATTATGGATTATAAAAACACTTGCTCAAGCTATTTTCTGTCATATAATTTACCTGTGGCATACTGACAATTTAAAAATAAAATCAATCATGAGTAAGAATGTATTACCTATAGTCAAGGAGTACAAAGCAATCCATGACTTTTTCTTTGAATAGCCCAGAGATGTCTCTGTTTTTCTACAATAAGATGATCGGTAGAGTAAAATGCTTCAAGAAGGAAAATACTTCAAAAAGGGTGCACTCCGGGAAGAATGAGTTTTAGGTATTGTATCAAAATTTCACACTATTATCTACAAATCAGATTGCCTTTTTTGTAAATAAACGTCTCTGGGATAAAAGGAAGAAAGCGGAGTGTGCCTCCTGTATTTCCAAAACATAGAGTATAGTTTATGAAAATTGATCCATAAAAGACATGAATCTTAGAATGTGCGGTCTTTGACCTGCAGCCTTGACGTTCAGCTGCACCAATGGCGTGTGTAGGAACTATTGACAGAGATTATGCGAATATTGCCCCAGGTCTCAGGGCAGTAACTGGCATTCAAGAGCCCACAGAGTCACTAAAAGGAAAGAAAACACAGGTCCCCTTATGGCAGGAGGTTACTGATGAGTGATATAGTTACTTTCACAGAGAAAGACTTCTACCCTGCTGTGCACACAGCCTTTGAATATATTCTTACCACTGGGAGATTGAAAACTGACTGCAGAACTGACACTGACTTTGACAAGAAGTGGCATTTGGAACCAGTAAGCATCTAGAAATAAAATCTGATTTTTTTTTTCAATACTGTAGGACAAGTACTAAAAACCCATTCTTTGTGTCCCACTGTTGCCATGAGAACAGCTTAGGATTTTTTTCTCTGTGAAGAATGAATAGCAAGCTGTTAATTTATTCTTAGAGAAATTCTCAATCCACAACAAAATTCAAAGAGAAATCCTGCTCAGGATAGATGTTACAGAATTTTATTCAAATCTGTGCTAATATGAAAGACATTTTCTGTGTCTATGTGATGTATAATAATAGTGAAAAGATACAGCCCTTTTCTTTTTCTGTGTTCGCCCAGTATTTTAAGTTTCTTTCCTTTATATTGCAAATCTGATACTTTTGAAGTTTCAGGTTGTTGAGCTGTAAAAACCAAACATTTTTTAGCATCGTACCAATGAAGTTCTTGAACAACTAACTATTAATACTTTTATATCTCTATAGAAGTTGCAAAATATTTCTTAATTCAATTGCCATTGTCTGAAGAAATATGCTATAATGAAATACAGATGTTTTCCACACATTATCGAAAATACTTAGAGATACCCTTCATTAATTGCAAATAGGCAGAACTCTTCCAACTTTGATAAATTTAATCCATTTGGTGTTTTTCTAATCCTCTGTGAGAAAATTTAGACATGTATTTGCACTAAATAGAAGAGCATTGAAATGCAGCCCAATAATTTTTACTTCAATGTTTGTTGTATTTTAGGACTGCATAGCTATTACAAAAAAAGTAAACAAAATTAGCATAATTTAACATATGTGATGATTGAGGAGACTGTTCAAGATAATTTACCCAGAAAGCTACATTATATTAAATGAAATCTAGCGCAGTGGCGTTGATCGTATCATGTAAATACCAGGACAACTGTAATAGAGTCAAGGTTTCCCAATGGGGCCTGATTACCATCCCCTGTGGTCTACTTGAATTTCATTGAACTGAATCTTACTTAGATTTAAAAGAAGTTGTTAAATAAGTGGATTCTATGTTTTGGTTTGCATATAATACTACCTTCAGTTTCTTTCGGTACCTACATTAGTACTGAATTGCCAATGTTTATTAGAAATATTTAAGGAAGTAAAGCTGCAACCAGAATAAGAAATTCTTAATAACCCTAAAAAGTGGCCCCGGGGGTGTCCCTTAAGCAGTGAACACCATTTGGAACCTCTCTTGACCTCTTAGGACCCAGCCAGACAATGACAACCTAGGAACAGTCAACCAGAGAAGTCCCATTTGCCTGCAGAAATCTGACCTTTGTCATGCAAAGTGGACCTTTACTTCCTTCCCCTTAAGAGAACCATAGTTGCTCACAGAATGTGAGCATTTTGGAAACATCAGAATAATACCTATCGTTTGACTCTAGTCAGACCCATTTCTAAATCACTTTGCTCTTAAATGTAGGAATTGAGCCTTCTGCTTCTTTCACAACAATGAACATCAAAGGTTTTCATAATTGGTTGTGAAGTTGCGAATAATTGTTTTTAATTTTTATATTTATTGCCCACACTTAAAGTAGCACTTCCTTTTAGAATTAGACTCTGTGATTCCTTTTATTCTATAATACAAGGATTTGTTGATACTGAAATTTGGAATATTTTACTGAATTTTATGGTTTGGCAGCAAATTATATTGTGTTGTAGTAGGTGACTTTTTTTTTTTTTAATCTATATAGTGTACTGCTGAATTGATAATAAACCATAAAATTGGGAAAGGAAGCTTCTGGGTCCAGACACTTTTGAAATAGTATTTATTTCTCACAAAGATAGTGCATATGTGGTGACTTTGAACTGACCTTCAAAGCCGTTTGAATTGGATTCTGTTCCAGTGAGTGTGTGCATATGTTTCATAAAATATTACGGTAAAAAGTTCTAGCGGTTTTATGCTCCATTATATTATTGGGGTCTTACCCAGTGAACTTTGCCTTTCTTTGAATGTTACAGTCTTTCCATTTAATACCTCTGAACAAAGTGAGCTTGCTGGCAAGATTAACCTCTTAAAGCGCACAAGCCATATAAAGAGCTTGGCTTGGGCTAATAACACGGTTCCAGCCCCACTGAAATATCCATTTTAATGGTCAGCAACACTAGAATGAGACTCAAAGATGGAAGGGGTCCAAGCACAAGGCTTTAGAGGGCCAGTGTCATTTTCCACACTGAGTAATTTGGAAAGAAGACAGAGATGAGATTTGTAGCTTATAAATCTCTCTCAGTACAGCAGTTAGAAGTTATGTCATGGTACTTCGGTGACCTGTTCAAATTATTATAATCCAGAATTAAGGAGATTTAAAAAAATGCTTTAAAATCTTTCTCTCTTCTTCTTCTCTCTCCGGTTCTGTGTCTTTCTCATTATAATACACAAACAGACACGTATGTGCACCCATGGTCCCGCACACACATCTCTGCACAGGCAGCGCTCCTGCTTATAAAAATAATCACTCAGTCTTATTCCAGATTAACAAAAACTGGAGCATTTTTATATATCGTAGTACTCTTAGTCCCATTTTTGTGGTGATTCTTGCTTAATATTGTTAAAATATACTCTTTGTGATAAATTTACACCAGTTTTCCCAGTATTGAGAAGCACCCTGGCACAGTAACACAGGCTTTGCATCCATCAACCAGGTGGGAATCTGGATCCTCAGTCTTGGGAATTTACTTAACCTCTTTAGGCCACGATTTGCCTCATCTGTAAAATGGGAACAGATATGCCCTTGGTTCATACAGTTATTTTGAGGATTCAGTTAAGTAATTCATAGAAGGCACTTAGGAGCCTACCTAGGATTTCAGGGATTGCTTATCTTAACTTTATGTTCCTAGTTGATAAGGAATTGGGTTTCATTTGTTTTCATAGGGTTCAAACTAAATCTCTTGCTGGTGTGGAACGTCTTTTTACGGGTCTTACATTGTCACCTTTATTGGTAAAACAAGGAAATGGAAGAGAAAGTGAAAGCGTTTTTATTTTGCGCTCTGTGTAACTTGCAATGCAAATGGCGAGAAGGGAACGGAGCCTGGCGTTTCAGAGCCCAGGGTGGTGTCCATAGTAGCAGCAGACTTGTTTCTGTCTATTACCATAGAAGGAACTCGTAATTGATGCTCCGGGCTCGCTAGGGCCAAACTGAGTTCTAATTTCTGCCATTAACTTCATTTTTAAATTCATAGACTTTAATTTTTCAAACAGTTTTAGATTT